TATTCAGAGGTCACAATGTTTTAAGGTACCACAGTGGACATTCAACTGCATGCTGCTATGACTGGCCCATAGGTAAAGAGAAGGTCTTCCAGGTGAATTAAGTTTTCATTAGACCTCACCCTCTCCTCACTTTCTCTATCGGCAACCAGGAAAAAAATTGGCAAAGATCCCCAGACTCTTCCTACTAAATACAGTACAGCAGTAGGGCCAGCGTTCAGTTTGTGTAATCAGCCCAGTGCCATGAGGTCTTTATCTTAGGTTTCCTGTTGGGAGTTTAGTTGTTATGCCTGGTTGTTGAAGACACCTCTATGCAGCGTGAGGAAATGCACTTCACGCGTTCCCGTTGGTCACTGCTGCTGCCAAGAACTGACCTCCGAACCTTTCATTGCCCCTGTGCAGCCAGGGGGTGACTCCATGCACCCGACATACACAGGAACATACACATGTTCAGCTGAGAAAAATTAAACGGGACCACGACACAGACGTGATACTAATCATGACCTCTTCTGACTTACTCTCTTTAGGTAAACAGACTAGATACTACTGGAATCCATTAGATTTAAACATTTATAGGAGAGAATTGAAAGAAAATAATGTTGACGGGAATACTAGAAGAAACCGCTATAGCTGAAAACTTTCCAAAGCAACATTTGTTCAGACCGATAATAAAAACTCATTTTAAAATCCTTAAACCAATTTATTGCTGCTATAAACTATTATACTGGCAATACCTTGAATTTTTTATAGTTGTATATAAAAACAATTTCTTCTTTGCAACAAATTAAACTAGCTTGTCTACCTTCAGCAATGTGCCATTATACTAAAAGCAAACTGTATCTGGCAACCCAATTTTATAAAAGCACTATAAAAGAGCAACATTTATTGTTAACTCTTCTTACATCTCTGCTTAAAGTTAAAAAAAAAAAAAGCAAAAACAAAATGCAGAGCGCATAAAATGCTGTGCTTTCTATTAGCAAATATCCCTCCAAACCCACTATTCAGAAAAGCTTTTAAAATTATATGATGTGTTCCTAAGTATGTGCACATGATTTACAGTAAGCAGCATAAAAGACAGATTTTTCTGTGTATTTTCTGTATATTTCTGTGTATATTTCTGTAAAGAGTAGGCTTACTGTTTTTAATTACTGCATGTTTTTGGGCACAAGAAATCGATCCTAACTCTACCACAGCCTTTGGGTACTACAAGGATGAAAGGTAATAAACAAACATGAAAATACAATACAAAACATGGGTGAGATTCCTCAGCCCCCCTTCAAGGCACTTTGTCAAAAACTTAAACAGTAATATAAGCGATTAGTTTAGTGAAAATAAACCTTTTGCTCAGGAGTGCCACATGCTCTAGGTGTCCCTGCTGGAGCAAGGGGATTGGACTAGATGATCTCTAGAGGTCCCTTCCAACCGCAACCAGTCTGTACCAGTACCCTCACAGGAACATCATAGAATTTCTTTGCCTCAGTGATAGTGGATACAGTAGTTTCTGGTTCTGTAATTTTAAGTACAAGGGAAGAGTCATTCCCTGTCTCCTCTGGTCTGTGTCTGCTTGCACCACCAGAAGCCTCTGCACCATTCAAATGCCTTTTTGTACAGCATTTCCTCAATCTGAGGAAAGATTCCTTACCTTCAAACTCTAAACACTATTTTTTATATCTAGGACTTTTTTTTTTTTTAATAATAGCTTAATTAGTTTGGTCAATAACTAATACATTGATTGATAACTAAAACATAAAAAAATCAATTGCTGTAGTCCCAAATATCTGGATTTTAAAAAGCACCTTCCTAAAGAGGTGCTTGGTCATATTCTGAAAAGCATGAAAGCACCAATCTCCTGAGTTGAGCTGTAGATGTGAAATGTATGATTTTATTTTTGTTACCTACTTGTCTTTAGAAAACGCAGTATCTGTACAGTTTCTTTCCAGAATACATCCTTCTACAGCCTTTCACCACAGTTGATAGTTCACTTAGTTTGCATGTAATTGAGGGCAATGATCTTGCTTCATCATTAAAAGAAGCAAGATTGCTTTGTCTCTCCTCCATTGCCTGCTGGAAAAGTTCCTTGACCTATGCAAGGGTAAGTATAGATGTGCTGGGCAGTGATGTCCTCAATAAAGATAACAGGGATTAGGGAGTGTTTTTAAGAGCTATAGGATTTGGCAGTGCTGACTTGGGGTTTAAGCGTGTAGTAGCCAGAGGACACCTTGCACTGGGGTGTCCTGTTGGGGTGGAAATGCGTGGATTGACGAGTGTCAATCCTGCCTGAAAGTCACTCTGCAGGACGCACAAAGGGTCCCCGTGCAGCGAGGGGCAGAGGAAGTGGGAGCCCGGCCGCTCGCGCTACCGGGAAGCGCACGGCACGGCCTCCGTGGAACGAGCAAAGGGAGAAAGAGAAGCCGAGTCCACAGAGCTCCTAAGTGTCCTTCTCTGAGTTATCATGTCATTTCCTGATGAAACCCCCCTTCGCAGGCATCCGTGACACTCACGTAATCTTGCAAAGTAATTTCACCGCTCTTTCAATTCACCTACAAGGCCTATTTTGAGGAATTCAAAAAAATTGCCCAATTTTGCTTTTCTCTAAGGTAGAAGTCAAGTGAGCTCCATAAATTTTAATGGACAATTTAGCAGTCTTTGGGTCTTTTACTGGCATTAAATTTCTGTCGCTTTTTGGATGTACAATCTGAAATTTATTTTATTCTTTTGTAAGTGAGACAAGTTCTACAATCTATATGTGGAATGAGGGAATGTAACTCTTGAACTCCTCTCTCAAAAACCTTTATATACCAGAATGACGGGAGGATGTCATCATTTGTGTTTAACTCTCATTTCCTTTTTTTGGCTCCAAATAGTAAATTAAGCAATAATTTCTAACCAGCAGGTACACTAAAAAGCTTACGCAGAGCTGTTAAACCAACCTCCATGTGAAGCTCCAAGGTTGTGTCACATTCAAAAATGTCTGATTAAATGATTTTTAAAAACAGCATTTTCTTACTTTTGTCTCTCAAAGCAAATCTTTGTTGTTTTCTAAACTTGCAGTCAATCAAAAGTACAGTATTAAAAGCTAGTGTATAACTTTCAATTATTTAAAAAACAAATAGAAATCTACAAAGAAATTAATAATAGTTTCACAATATCGAACATAAAGTAATTGTATTTTTTTCTATTCTGAAAATTCATTTATTACCTTACTGAAATAAGATTATCTTTTAATTTTAAGAAAAAATACTTAAAATGTTTTCCTGGCCATGCAACACTGAAACGTCACTTTTAAAGTGGGTAGTTTTGCAAAAGCACACCTTGAAAAAGGAGAATAGAAAGAAGTCATTACATAGTCCTCACTGATCAAAAAATCCTTGCGTATGTTTCCCCTTAAACATTGAGTCTGGTGTACAGTTTACCATGAAATATGCCACTGTATGTTCTTCTGAATATATATCCCGGCACTGTTGCATCTTATGGGGTCCATGCATGACTGGCATGTCTTTAGGACTGTTTAATACCTATAACTCGTGTTCTAAAATATATTCCTCCTTGACTTTCAAAAGGAAAACTTTCCTCAGTCAAAAACCACTGTATGAGAATGCAGTTCCTTGCACTTGCCAGAAAATCAAACAAAACAAAAAAAATGAAATGCATTGGGGAGAGGAACCCTAAGATTTTGGGAGGGTGAGTGCAAGCAGGGAAGCTTCCCTCAAGCACGGAAGACCTACCGAATTTCCAAAATACAGCAAATGCTATCAAGAAAGTTTAATCGCATGCTTCTCTCTAGCATTTTGCAAACAGAGCAAATCTTTACTTATTAGAAGATGCATTTGTTGTCCAAAAGCATCTGAAATGTTATCTGTGGCAAAGTCCATGAATTTTCAAAAAGGAAGATGTACAACTAATAGTCAAATGACCTATGCAGTGCCTATAGTGGCTTCAGTCTTTCTGATGCCAGATCCTAGCTCCATGTTTATGTAACAGGCCTTGAACTCGTTTTTCCAGTTAACTATCACTAATAGTTAAACTTGTCAACAGTTTATTAGTGAATCACTGTTGAAATAATTTATATGTGATCTTACACGATCCTACTTGACCTTCAAGCTGAAAAGTTTAAATTCTCTAGAACATGAAAATAAGTCTGCACATAGTCTGGTGATTACTAATTGCACAGCAGAAATACTCTTTTATACAGAATTGTATAGAGCTTCTGTGCAACTTTCCCAGGCAGTTTTGGTCACTCCTGGTCACACCTCTCAACGCATCTGTTGCTCCACGGCTTCTGGTTGTGTTCCAGCCCTGGGGACACTCATTTTTTGGGGGGTATCTCCACTATTTCTCCGCTGCAGAAGCTGCAGCTGCAGCCTGAACTGCAGCTCTAAGACGCGTTCTCTGCATTCGCCTTTTTCTCACGTCCTTTCCCTCACATTCCCTCTGCATGAAGACTTCACACACCAAACCCAACACAACTCCCCTACCCAACAACCAGAGCCTTAAGCAGCACATTTTTGGTGAAAATACAAGTGTTCCTCCAACAGTTACTCCCCAGTGTGGGAAGCCAAGACACTACTGAAGAGCAGGGCTCAATAAGCAGCTCAAAGGCACACAGCAGGATACCCAACATGCCTGCACCTGTGCTGCTATATGCTAGGATTATCGTTACGTGGAGTTGAGGGTTTGACCAGATTTGGGACAAAAAGCCCCTATTGGGGAGAGCGCGCCCCTCTCCCGGCCAGTGCGCATGCGCGTGCGCAGCCGCCCCCCCGCCACGTGACCCCAACGGCCGGCGCGTCCCTGGCAGCGCGGCCGCTTCCGCTTCCCGTGGCGGCGGCGGCGGGCGGGACGAGGGGCCGCCATGCGGGCGCCGCGG